TTTTTTTTTTTTTTTTTTTTTTTTTTTTTTTAATTGAACAACTTTTAATAAGCCAGAAAGCGGGCCTGGCGTCCCTCACAAAATCCCATGGTCCAGTTTAAACCACCAGTACCTACCGGGTGTTAAGGCCCGTGTCTCAGGCTACCGGTAGGCCAGTCATTGCCGAGCCTCGACTTTATTGCCGAGCCTCAGACAACCGGTTGTACACAACAGCAAAAAAGAAGGAGAAAAAAAAAAAAAAAATTGAGGACAACAATCTGAAAAGAAAAAAGAAAAAAGAAAAAAAAAGCGAAATCACAATTCAGACATTTACATCGAGAATGAATCTTCCTCGATAAAGAGGAAGATTCATGTGAGAGAGAGAGAGAGAGAGAGGGAGGGGGATATCACCAACTCGAGATTCGGCAGGAGGATCGTTACGAGACTGCGTTTAAGACGCGATATGGGCATTTCGAATGGCTGGTTATGCCATTTGGCCTTACGAATGCCCTGACCACTTTCCAAGCGGCTATGACAACGGAGTTCCGACACATGCTGGATCGATACGTACTTATCTACCTCGACAACATCCTGATGTACAGCTGGAGTTTGGAGGAGCATGTGGAACACCTGCGCACTGTTTTGGAGCGGCTACGACAGGCCAAGTACAAACCCAACCGCGACAAGTGCAAATTCGCGCGGCAGGAGCTGGAGTACTTGGGACATTATGTGACGCTGCAAGGCATCTGTCCACTTGCAGACAAGATCGAGGCCCTACGAGTATGGCCCGAGCCCACCAACACCACGAACGTTCGTTCATTCATGGGATTGGCGGGCTACTATCAGCGATTCATCACCGGATACTCGAGGATTGCTGCACCTATGACGAGATTACAATCGCCAAAGGTGCCATTCGTATTCGATGACGACGCACGCCGGTCATTCCAAGCACTTAAGACGGCTATGCTCATGGCACCCGTCCCTAGCATCTATGACCCCACCCTGCAGACGAGAGTGACTACGGACGCTTCCGACTATGGCATTGGGGCAGTCTTGGAACAACACGACGGCGACGACTGGCACCCTGTGGAGTATTTCAGCCACAAAGTGCATCCCATCTACTCGCTTGATGATGCAAGGAAGAAAGAGTTGCTCGCATTCGTGACGGCTCTCAAGCGCTGGAGGCACTTCCTCCTTGGGCGTCGTAGGTTCACATGGGTCACAAACAACAATCCATTGACCTACTACAAGACGCAGGATACGGTGAGCAGCACGATCGGACGATGGATGTACTTCATCGACCAATTTGACTTCACACCGAAACATTTTCCCAGCCTCTTCAATCGCGCAGCAGATGCACTCTTGCGAAGACCTGATCTTTGCGCTATGACACATCATGCCTTCGCATTCGACGAGGAGCTCCAACGACACTTCATCAGGGGCTATGAGTCCGAGCCAGATTTCACCACGCTATATGCGCAACTATCTTCGGATCACCCACCGGCCAGCCACTATCGCATCGCCGATGGGTACTTGTTCCTGCACTCACGGGGCAAGGACTTACTATGTGTCCCACGCGACCGCCGTCTTCGGACTCGCCTCCTCGGCGAGTATCATGATTCGCGACTCGCCGGCCATTTCGGAGTCAACCGCACTATTGCACGGCTTTGACAACGATTCCGATGGCTCGACCTCGTCACTAACATCACGAGGTATTGCGACTCTTGCGAAGTTTGCCGACGAAGCAAACCCCACAACCGCAACCCCTACGGCGAGCTGCGCCCGATGTCGATCCCGCAGGAACCCGGTCTCTCCATTGCCATGGATGTCACCGGACCATTCCCCCGCAACCGCCTCGGACACTACGGCATCCTCACGGTTGTGGACCGTTTGAGTAAGTATGCGCGTTTTCTCCCTTGCAAGTACTACTTCACGGCTCCCAAGCTGGCACGCCTCCTGCACACAGGCTGGATTTGCGGCCATGGTGTACCGGAAGACATAGTCAGCGACCGCGACACTCGCTTCATGTCGGCAGTTTGGACTGCACTCATGCAGGAGTCCGACGAAGATGAAGCCAAGTTCGGCTCGGCATCCACAAACAGACGGGCAGACAGAGCGGGCACATCAAACCGCTCAAATGATGCTTCATACGCTCATCCATCCGGACCAGAAAGGTTTGGTTGACCGCCTCCCCGACATCGAGTTCGCCTACAACACTTCGGTGCACCCGGCAATCGGCGTGACTCCATTCGAGTTGGACCACGGTGGACGGAAAGGCCGTATCTTCGCCGACCTTCTCCTCCCACGACCAGCCGACATCAATGCCGCTTGCTCTCCCACTTCCTTCCGGAAGTACAGGGAATTGCTGGCTCAAGCCCGCGCGAATATGCAAAAGGCTCAAGTCCGCATGCAGCAGCAAGCCAACAGGCATCGCGTGCTATGTCCCATCCGCGTCGGCGACCTGGTTTGGGTTTCCGCGGAAGAGTTTGCACTGGAACAGGATGTCTCACGCAAACTGCTTTCCAAGTTGTTTGGACCATGGCCCGTAACATCAGCCGCGGGCGATGAGCCCGATGGCCTTTCATTTGTGATAAACATCCCCCCGCATCTGACGGTCCATCCAGTCTTTCACGCCTCAAAGCTGGCAACATACATGCCAGCTAAGAGCGACGACTTTCCGGGCCGACGATCGCAGGACCCTCCTTCTATGGATGGTCATCAGGAAGTTGACCGGGTCATCACTGATCGCAAGTACGGCAGCAAGCCGCGATAGTACAAAGTTAGATTCAAAGCCTGCGATCGCGACGACACCCGGTGGATTTCAGGAGCAGATTTGAAAGCATCCGCACCGCTGATCTACGCGCATTATGAGAAGCAAAGGTTAGCTCAGGAAGCTTCACGACCGGCCCCTCCCACCCGGACTGTGGTCCCTCCCTCAAACAGATAGCTTCGCCCTCGCAGGTAAGCTCGGTCTTTCAAGGAGGGGGGGGTGTGGCATACTGCGTAGCCACACGGGCCCTGCAGGGCCCGTCCCGCACTTTCACCCTAAAAGCCTAGAAAATAGGGCTTACAGGCCCCGGTCGTTTCAGCCTGAAACTGAAAAACGAGGGCATGCAGGCCCTATTCCGTTTTCAGCCTATTTCTGCGCCTTTCAGGCCCAGAGGTTTTTCAGCCTGAAACGGAGGACCATTTTCAGGCCCTCATTGTTTCGACCGACCCTAAGACTCAAGCACAAAAACAGGGTTTTCGGAGCAGGCTATCTTTAGCCTGTTTCCACGACTGCCTTGAGCAGGAGCTGCAGCGGCAGCCCCTGACTGCCTCTGGCATTGACAAGAGCAGCCTCCTGGACTGCTGCCTCGCCTGCAGCCAGTCCAGGTCGAGTAGTACATAGGGGTTTCCCATGCACTTCCCAGGTAGATAGTTGGGCAGTAGGACGAGTAATCTTCAGGATTCAGCGCAGCACTCAGGAGGAGCGCTGCCAGGAGTAGCTTAGCGCTAGCAGTAGTCTTCAGCGCTGGGCGCTAGTAGCCATAGCCGTAGTCTTCAGCGCTGGGCGCTAGTATGTGGTAGTGGTAGTGTGGGAGAGATGGCTGGCGGAGGCCAGCGAGGCTTACCTGTGGCGCCAGTACTCCAGCTCCATCTTCGAGGTACCTGCATCAAGGCGCCATCTTCACAGGTTACTACTGGACACACACACACAGAGAGAGAGAGAGAGAGAGAGAGAGAGAGAGAGAGAGAGAGAGAGAGAGAGAGAGAGAGAGAGAGAGAGA